TACAATTTCGCAGCTCTTCAAACATTTTCCACATTGTGCTTTTAGGGCTAGTAGTTTCCGACCCCATTTGCTCGTTTTTTTTCAATTCTGAATTTAGGCTAGGCTTCATTGGAACTTACTGTGGGTGCAAACAGGCCACATTTTGTAAACTGAATTGTGATATTTAATTTTATTTTATAATGAAAAATGAATTTAATGTGCAATTTTTTAAGTTTACTAGATGTAAGACAACTTTTAATTTTCTTTATATATTGCATGCTTTAGTTTTAATTGTTTAAGTTAAGTTGTAAAGGTGAAAATAGGCCTCCTGGGCAACCGAGTACATTAAAAAAAATCGGTAACTCGCGTAAAAGCATACCTCACAAGTGGTGTGGAAAATGCAAGAACAAATATAAATGGAATAATTTTCGAAATTATGAAATGGTTATTGGTATTTTCCATCTCAAAGGGGGTGATTAATTTGAACGTTATTTAAGCTGCCTTTACACGGTCGATTTTTATCGTTTAACCAAAATCTACCCGTGTAAATTGCAATTCAACCGTAAAATGTAAGCGTTTTGGCTAGTCGATATCTTAAGTAAATTATCCAGTCGACAGAAATCGACCCGTGAAAAGGCAACTTCAAGAATTTTTTAATTTTCTTTTTTTTTTTTTGCTTGAGCGTCTTTTGAAGATGTGCCAAATTATATTGTCGCCTTAAATACAAAACAACAATTTCTTTAAGCCATCTTGTGCAGCAATTTGTTGATCTTATCCTCACGGCTACCGAAATCACCAACCTCAACGTAGTGATTAGCCTTCTTGCGCCAGCCTCGGGTTGATGTGTTGAGCTTGAATAGCAACAGGAAGTTGGGGGCTTTCTTGAAGTGAAGTGAATCAACGCGCTTCGCGAAATTTGCGTGCGATCACAAAGCAGAGATTGGGACACGCTTGACCATTCCACGTTTGTACATCAATTCACAAACTGATTTAAGATTTGGATAACCCCATATAGGGGTTAAGGTAATTTGGGACCTTTCCTGCGAGAGGCCCAGAGCGTGCGTAGTGCTAAAGAATAATATTAATTACTTTTGCATTACAGAATTTCTTACACAGGATCTGGTAGCGGTCCAAGCTACCTTAAGGGTCAACGGGAAGGAACTGGAGGTGGTCTTGGCTGCAGCCTACTTTCCGGGGGACAACGCCAACGTGCCGCCTCTTGAGGTACAGCAGTTGCTGGAATTTTGCCGCAGGAAACGACTTCCGGCGATTCTTGGCTGCGATGCGAACGCCCACAATATAGAGTGGGGCAGCTCGGACACAAACCGTAGGGGTGAGTGCTTATTAGAATATATTATCAGTGAAGACCTGTGCATCCATAATGTCGGTAATGAACCAACGTTCATAACCAGGGTCAGAGAGGAGGTACTCGACATCACTCTCAGCAACAGACTGGCCAGCCCTCTGATCGTTCAGTGGCGGGTCTCATCTGAGCCCTCACTGTCGGATCACAGGATTATCCGATTTGCACTGGGAGCTGAGGTTCTGACAGGTCACCCAAAGAGGAACCCCAGGAAAACAGACTGGAATAAATATGAAGAGGTACTTAGGTTGAACCTAAGCAGAATAGAGGCACAACATAGAAAGGTGGATTGTATGGAGTTAGAGGACAGGGTCAACAAGCTGAACGGCACCATTCTGGATGCCTTTACCTCCAGCTGTCCCGTGTCAAAGCCAAAAGGGAAAGCTCAGCCTCCCTGGTGGACACGGGAACTCTCAGTTCTTAGGAAAGATGTGCGAAGACTTTTTAACAGGGCAAAGCGCACCGGGAGCTGGGAGGAGTACTCAGTCTGTCTAACAAAATACAATAAGGAGATTAGGAAGGCCAAGCGTAGCAGCTTCAGAACCTTTTGTGAGAATATCGCATCTACTCCTGCAGCTGCTAGGCTGCATAAAGCCTTAGCGAGAGACAACACAGGGACCAGACTGGCTATTAGGCTACCTAATGGGGCCTTTTCAGGTAATGAACAGGAGAGGGCACTCGCCCTGCTATCGGCCCACTTTCCGGACGCCATTCCCACCGCTGGGGATACGTTGTTCCGTGCGTTCAGGCCATCCCCACCGGACTGGAAGGTGGCTAGAAGCCTTATAAACCGGCAAACAGTGCGGTGGGCTCTGGACTCCTTCGAACGGTACAAGGCCCCTGGGGTGGATGGAGTATGTCCGGCGCTACTAAAGCAGGGCGGGGAGCTCTTACTGCCACATCTGGTGGACATTATGAGGGACAGTCTAGCACTGGCTCACATTCCCAAGGTGTGGCAAAGGGCTAGGGTTACTTTTATCCCGAAGGTAGGTAAGAGGGATTACTCTCTTGCCAAGTCATTCAGGCCGATAAGTCTCACATCCTTTATGTTAAAGGCAATGGAGAAAATTATTGGCCATGAAATCAGGTATAACACTCTAAAACAAACCCCTCTGCATTCCAACCAGCACGCGTACAGGGTGGGGAGATCCACGGATACTGCGCTGTATGCCTTAACGGAGGAAATACAAGGGGCCTTTGAGTGTGATGAGGTGGTGCTCTGTGCCTTCCTCGATATCGAGGGGGCCTTCGATAACGCCTCCCATTTGGGAGTCGACAGAGCTCTTGGGAAACATAACGTTCAGCCAACCATCCGAAGATGGATAGCAAGGTTACTTCAGACCAGGATTGCCGAAACTGAAGTCGGTGACAGCGTCGTTCAAATACAAACGACTAAAGGGTGCCCACAAGGGGGGGGTATTATCTCCTCTACTGTGGAGCTTAGTTGTGGACGAACTCCTACAGATACTCACTAACGAGGGCGTCCGCTGCCAAGGGTACGCGGACGACATAGTGATTATCGCTAGAGGAAAGTTCGCAAGTACTCTCTGTGACATCGTCCAAAAAGGACTTAACCTTGCGAAAAGGTGGTGCACAGACGTAGGTCTAAATATCAACCCTTCTAAGACAGCCATAGTCCCCTTCACCAAGAAACGAAATCTCCAGGGGATGAGGAACTTGACCTTGGACGGGGTCGCAATCAGTGTCGCCACAGAGGTTAGGTATCTGGGGCTTACCCTGGACTCCAAGCTTCTGTGGAGGGCCCATGTAGATGCGGTCACCTCTAAGGCCACGAGAGCGATGATGGTGTGCAAACGTCTGGCGGGTAAATCCTGGGGGTGCACTCCGAGGATCCTCAGATGGATGTACACAATGATAGTGAAACCA